CAACTCATGGGGCCCCCGGGCAATAGGGGATCATGGGACCCATGTGTCCTTGCCCAAACTCAAAAAAGCCTATGAAAAAGGTACCAGTTTCCCATGGTCAGTCCGCCCCTGCTTTAACCACTTGCCTACCTGGCAAATTCTGACACTTCTCTCCTACATGTAAAAATTGATTGTATTTTTTTGCTAGAAAATTACTTGGAACCCCCAAACATCATATTTCTTTTAGCAGAGGCCCTAGAGAATAAAATGATGGGTATTGCAATTTTTTATGTCGCACAGTATTTGTGCAGGGGTGCATGTGTGTCTTCTGCCTAAAAGTTATTGAAATGAATAGTCATATATCAGCACCTCTGTCTTTCCATTTTCTTTTTTTTTTTTTTTACAAATTGTATGCATCTTATTAGCAACTGGCAAGTTAGGCAGATTGAGGAACTCTGGACTCCATCTCCTACTGAGAGCCTTGTCAATGTGTTCATAGATGAATTATGAACAGTATTTGCTTCAGTTATAGATAGGTATCTGTCAGGCAGGTTCACCAATGTATTTCCTACTACAGACCCTGCCCATGTAAAGCCTTAAGGTTTTTTTCTGCATTCCTAAGTAAACGACTTGACTTCAAAGCTACACACAAGTACACTATATACAATTTAAACATCCTTTAACTATGATTTTTTTTTCTACAAATTTAATTTGTAGGTATTAGCTGAAATAGAAGAAGCTGACAAACCACCTCATTCCAGCTCAGGGTTTGCGGAAAACATTACTGGTCTTGATTTAACAGAAAAAACTATGCATTCAGGTAAATTTAGGAAGTGCATAATTTGGAAAAATACTTTTGTTTGGCCTAAAATAATTTTTTTTCAAATGATATAAAATGATTATTTGTGGTAATTCCTTTTTCACACTATAGTTAGTCACCCCTAAAGTGTATATGTAGGCAAAACTTTATAGTTATGGATAAGGTAGAGAAGGGTAAAACTCCTGTAAGTTTATCTTTTGCTGTCTAGGTCTCATTGGGGAGATGTCCCTTCACTTCCTGTCTGTTGAGTGCAACACAAAGTGGATGGAAATGTCAACAAAATGGGAAAAAATTTGTAGTTTATGCTACACCTTATACCTGGCTTTGTCTACAGGGCCTAGGCAAGGGTGACATCACGCTCCTTCTGGAAAGATCCTGGGAGATACAGAGCAACTCAATCCAATAGGAAGACACTGCACTATGGATTGGAGTTACTTCTGGCACGGTATGGCTTGCTCTGAATTCCCCAGGAGTCTCCACGTAAGGACTGTGACATCAAGCCCAGTGGCGTACAAAACACAGTTAAGTATATAGTTTAACTTTTTTCATTACAGGTAACCTTTGTTCCCACTAGCACGCAGTTTGTATAGGATGGGGGATGCTTAGTACTGCAATATTAAAAACTTAAGTTTAAGGACTTATGTGTTGGTCTTTATTAAGCTGCTACCAGGGGCGGACTGACAACTCATGGGGCCCCGGGCAATAGGGGATCATGGGGCCCCTGTGTCCTTGCCCAAACTCAAAAAAAGCCTATGAAAAAGGTACCAGGGGCATCTCATGGGGCCCCCTACTGATCCCGGGCCCTCGGGCAGTGCCCGAGTTTCCAAATGGTCAGTCCGCCCCTGGCTGCTACTGTTATATTTTGTTTTTGCTTTGGATTGCTTTCATGCTGACATTTTGCACACATATGATGCCAAACAAACTGAAAGATAAATGTAGGGTTTACACATACTTTAACACACATTAATAGGATTATTTTACCTGTTTTACTTGTAAAACTACTGAAAAACGTACACATTTCCTTTGATTAACTTTTTGGATTTGTCTTTGTTGCATAGATTTGTGTTTAATAAAAATGCATTAACTGAGATTTGTAGCAGCTGCTCTGCTGCAGTATAATTCTACCAATAGCTATTTTCTGAAGTGTCTCATTGGGGATTTTGTTTTATAGGAGATGGCAGCCATGAATCTTTAGGCTTTTGTTATTTCGAAGTGGAAGAAAGCTGTAGACAAAAACTGCAGCAGTGGGAAAAAGAACAAGAGAAACATAATGAAATGAAAAGAGCTGCACTTATTGCTCAAAAGGCGGTCTTTGAGAAAGAAATCCAAGAAGAAGATGAAAAGAGAGAAAATTGGAAGAAGGAATTTGTGAAAGAGCTTTTTGAGGCTGAATACCCTTCAAAAAGTAAGATCGGGCTTGAAGCACTGATTTCTGTTGCATTAAAATGTACAATGTACATCTTTTTTTACTCTTTTGTCATGTTTTCAAGAATTTTTACTAAAAGTTTCTTAGAATGAAACAAGTAGGTCTGCTCAGTGATATTGATTCATTATTCCAGAAAAATACCTTCAGATCTAAATAGTCTTGTCAGGCAAGCAGGCAAATAAAAGAGCCACAGTGAGCAAAATACAGACGTCCATAGCAACCAGTCAGTGTAACACAGAATAATAAAAATGATGACTCATTAACTTCTCTGGGCTGCTTAATTTTAGATGTTGTCCTATTAAAGTGTCACTAAAGGCAAAACCTTTTTTTTATTTTTGTATAGAGTAAAGGGGGGTTATGGCCCCATTTATGTTTTTTTGTTTTTTAGTATAACACCGGCAGCTATCCACTGCCACACCAAAAACAAACAGAAAAAGAAAAGGAAAGAGAAGTACAAAAGGAAATAGATAACAAGACCAAGAGCAGGGGTCCGAGAACACCAATACTGAGCAACATCACAACCCCAGACTAGCCGGGGGGAGCGTGGGAAAGGTCTATTGCAACCACGGCTCCCATATTTTCAAGAGTGGAGTTGTTACAGATTCTCGACATCTGTTCATTGAGCATCATAGTGGTCATACGGTCCCGCACCCCCTGAAGAGGGACAAATGGGCTCTTCCAGGCCTGAGTAATTGTTCTAGTGGCCGACTAAAAGAAATAGGAAGCCAACTTCTGCTGGTGAGCCAAGAGGCCTGGTATGGGACAATGAAGCAAAGCATACCGAGCATCCCAGCGTATGGAGAGATGGAACAAGGTGAAAAGGAGGCCAAACACACAAGACCAAAAACGAGCATGACCACCAGATATGCAATACATCACCAAGATGACCACAACCCCGAAATCATCGATCACTGCAGGCAGGGTTCGCCTGGGCCAAATGAGCCGGAACCCAATACCAACGAAAGAATACCTTGTATGCCACCTCCAGCGTGGTCGTATTAAATGAACATTTTGCTATAAGGCCCTAGTCCAGTCCTCCAGATCCACGACTGCCCCAGGTCGCGTTCCCACTGAGCGACATATGAGAGAGAAGTATGCGTCGAGCGTCTGTTCAAAGCTGCATAAAGAGGGGAAGTAAGGCCCGGGGTGCCTGGACGCTGTTGGCAAAGCAGTTCAAAGGCAGATTTCTGGAAAGCGGAAGTGCCCCGCAAAGAAGTCAGCCAATGCCATAATTGAAGGTAACGAAAAAAGTCCCCCGGAGGGACATCCCGTGATTCCCGAAGAGAATTCCAAGTGGGGTTCTGTGACCTTTTGAATATACTATTATATAGTTTATAGTTTTCTAAAGACAAATGCTTTTAACAGGTGCATGCTCTGCAGTCTCCTGGTTCTGCAAATGCTGCTCCTTCAGCCCAGTGCAGGTCTCCCTTCTCAAAACAGCACCATTTACTGGTGCCTGCAGAATAGGATGTACAGGACTGACAGGTCCAGCAGACTGCAGGAAATTTTACTGCCAGATTATAGTAACAGAAATGTATAATTGATAGTAAAATTGCAATAATATGCTAACAGAAAACCTTGGTTGAAAAAAATGCATTGGCTGCTATTACTGACAACTCTGTGTATGATAGTGTACTGGTTTTTGTCAGGGACCGCCGCGGCTCCTTCCCCGGCGCACGCGCACTAGCGGCGGCTCACGCCGGGACACAAGCACCAGGTCCCGGTGGGCCGCGGCTGACAGGATGCCGCGCATGCGCAGTAGGAGCCGCGGGCGCGCCTTGGGCGACCAATGACAGCCCCGGGGGCGCGTCCTGGGCGGCCAATGACAGTGCAGGGCGCGATATTTAAAGATGCCCTGCACGGTCACAAGTTGCCGCAAGGTCTGACCTGTTACCTGAGTTTCCTGTGCCCTGTGAATATTGACCCGGATTGTTTGACCTTTCTGCCTGCTCCAGCTCTGACCCGGATTGTCTGACTACGCTGCCTTCTCCTGAGTTTGACCCGGATTGCCCCCTGACTACGCTGCCTTCTCCTATCCCGACCCCCGGCTTGTTTGACCATTCTGCGGACTGACCTCGATACTGACCCTGCGTGTGACCTGACCACTCTCTGCATGCCGTCTCTGTACCTCGCCACCACCCCCCCACGGTGACAACCGCCGGTTTATCCTGCCTGGTTCTGCCAGCCTCCTCACATCTGGCTCTCTTCTGGTTTACACTCATCCCTGGAGGTTCCCTCTGCCACTGGTGGTATTGCTCGGAGGTCGTGACCTGGTCCTGGTTCTGCTCCAAGTCCATCCCCACCATCAGGGGCCCTGGTGAAAATGCAGACCGGGACTTAGACTCCACGCTCCGGGTGATTCCGTCTAGTGGGCTGCCAGAGGCACCACCTGGCGGATCCGTAACAGTTTTCATACTGGTCCCCAGCTGAAATTTTAATCACTCATCCATAACATGCAGGTAGGTCGAGATTACTGACTGACCTACAGTATCTAGATGCATCTTAGTTCTAGGTCCAGGCCTCACTCCAAATCAGTAAGTAGCCAACCAAGTAGCAATTTTAGCAACAGCCCAGTACAGATTCCTATTAACTTAGCTTTACATTAGATTGTACCAGGTTAAGTTTTTTGCTATACTGAAACATCCTGTCTTTATTTCTATAGATTCTGAATGTATAATCAATTTAATAACATAGTTGCATATATCCATTTCTTTGACTAATTCATTATTCTAAAATACACATTTAAATATTATGTTTTTCAAGGAGCAACAAGAGAAACTAGATGCAGATTTAAAAAGAAAGAATGATACAATGGCAGAAGAACTAAGATACCACGAGGTAAATAGTATATAAGTAATAAAGATGAAGGAATTTATGTTCTTTGGTGATTCTAGCTTTCAACTCAACAATTTGACCTGGATACTTGCTGAAAAATTTAAAAAAATTAGGCTTCATTCACAAAGCCAACACACTCAGATAAGGATGCTAATTTTTTAAAAAGTGACAGTTAATTTCACGTCAGTGAAGTTTGAAAATTACAGTCACATGGATTCAAATCTGTGTGTAAAACTTCATGAAGTGGGCCTATTGCATGAAAACCGAACCACAGAGCATTTCCAGTGCAATAAATTCTCTCGCTCTCCTCCCTCTCTCCTCTCTTCCGCTCACACCTCACCCTCTCTCCCCCTCACTCTCTCCCTCTCTCCCCCTCTCCCTGTCTCCCCCTCACCCTCTCCCTGTCTCCCACTCTTCCTCACCCTCTCCCTGTCTCCCCCTCTCTCACCCTCTCCCTCTCTCACCCTCTCCATCTCTCTCCCTCTCTCTCCCTCTCTCCCTCACTCTCTCCCCCCCTCCCCCTCTCCCCCCTCTCTCTATGTATGTATTCTATCTCACAACTATTTATTCAATCTAGATTGCTATTTTGAAAATACATATACTAAGTGATTGCAATATATAATATTGCACATTTGTAATGTCTACTAAAACCACACACATATGTAGTTTCATCAATGCATAGACTTATTTTGCTTCTAGTTTATGATTGTTTTTGTTTTTTTTGTTTTTTTTCTTCTGTGTTCTTAGAACCTAATTAAAGAAATGGAAGCAGAGTTGGTAAAAGAACAAACCATCTTTGAGGAACAGAAAACCAAAGCTAGAGAATATCTAAAGGATTTACAGAATAAATCAGCTGTGAAAATCCAGGCAGCCTTTCGAGCACATCAAACATACAAAATGTACGCACCGATTCTAAGACAGAAAAAGCAGGAGTTAAAAAGAAAAGGAGAAATGCAGGAGAAAATGGATCGGGAAAGGAAAGCATTAGAGGAAAAAGTAAAGTTAAAACTTGAAGAGAAGAAATGGAAAGAGGAGGAGAAAAGGCTCAATGAGGAGATTGAGAAAAAGAAAATGGAAGAAGCCAAGAGGCTAGAACATTTGGAACTGGAGAGGAGGCAGAGAGAGTATGAGAAAAAGAAAATAGAAGAAAAACAGAGACTGGAGAAAGAAAAGATCTTAAAAGTTGAGGCGAAAAAGAAATCTGAAACTTTAATTAGCATAGATATTTCCAACAATGAAGTTATAAAAAGCATGAACATAGCAATCTTTGTCTGGAAGTAATTGAGAAAACCAAGGAAGACTCTTCTAAGGATGGACAAAAACAAGCAAAACTCAGTAAAATGGTTGAAAAAAATATTGAAGAGTCTTCTAAAGAAAAAATATTAACAAACCAATGTGAGGTGCAGCAACAAATAAACTTTGATGGATGTGCAATTAAGATAGAAACAATGACTGATTTGGAACCAGAAATAAAGCACAAAGAAATCATAAATAACTACTTCTCTAGTATTGAAAACAGCTCTTTAGCACCTAACAGGGAGTGTGAAGAGAAGCAGGGCAATGGAGCATGTGCCATGTCTTATCAAATAGCCAGGATACAAACACCTTTACCAAAGGAGACTGTGGAGGTCATATGCAGTGAAGCTGCACAAGTTGGACAAATTAGAGAAAAGAAACATAGGAAATGGCCTTCAAAATAAGTCTCCAGCTTTACCTATGACCTCAAGACTTTTTGTTTTACCAGATCACATTGAGGAGAAGAGGTTAACTTGGATGAAATCTTGTAAGCCGTGGTCCACAATTTTGAGAGAAAACCAAAATAATAATGTCATTAGAAAGACAAGGCAAAGGAAAAGCTCAGCAGCAAAAAACATCCCTCCAATAAATGCAGCCCTCATCTTGAAAAATGGTCCATGGAATGACCTGCAACAGGTAAGACTTTTCACATTTTAAAGTTAACTTGTACCTTAAATTAATTATTGCAATTAATAGTGTAGTGCCCTCCTAGGTAGCTAGAGGGAGCTAGAATCAAATTTTCTGTTATGAGCTGGATAGCAGCCCAGATGCAATAGTCAGAGGGAGGTCAAATTGTAGTAAGGGCTGAGAGTCTCTGCAGACCAGCCCCTCTGGAATTTCCCCCTGCTCTAGAAACTTTAGAGAAAGGTCTAGAAGCAGTGGGTTGATCTGAAGGGTGGCTGCTTTGTATTCTTGGGGGATCTTAGCCAATCCCCCACAGGAGGCTTGGCAAGGGGCCAGGACAACATTTAAGAGTAGCTGAGCCTGCTCAGCAAAGGGAGGGGAGAAAGAGGGGAGAGTTGGAGGAGAGTTTCAAAGGAAATTGGAGAAGTAGGCTGGAGCTCAGGAGCCTTTTTAGAGGGCCAAGATGGGAGAAGGGCTCACCTACAGGGGAGGAAACTGGACAGGAAGAAAGCTTGCACCCTCACCGGCCCCTCGAGAGAGGACCACCTGTGTAGCAGAGGAGGAGCGGTCCAGCTAGAAGGCTTGGTAGCAACCACCAAATCATTAGCAGCACAGGAGAGGGACAAGTGAGTAAACTCTGGTGGGAAACCAGATTAGCACCCTGCTTGGACTATCTTTCTTTTAAAGTAGCAGGACAAGATCCCCTGTCCAGGGATTTCCTTAAGGCAGCCAGATCGAGGAATATTTGGGGTCTGGAGAGGTACACTGGGAGATGCTGGCTAGCTCTCCCACAGAGGATGTGTTGCAGTAGACTTGTTACTAGTTCCCGGAAGTTGTCCTCAATTCTTCAGTTCCATTGGGCATCTTACATACCCCTTTCCCCATCCAAGTTGATATCCCCCTAATGAAATATTAAGAGACACGCTTAAGGACTGATTTCTGACTCCTGGATGCAAGTCGTTGTGGAAATGCATGTTGCCTGGCTGTGCAGGACTATAGGGGGACCCGAACAATCCAGCAACTCCTAAGTGGGTAGTGCTACAATAATATACCTGTGTGCATCATGAAGTGCAAGAACATACATTATTGTAAACTTCTAGAATAAGCTCCTGGAAACACCTCAGCACAACCCAGTGTTTTCCGTTTTATTCAGCTTAGTATGAAATATTGCATGTACAGTATTTCATGTTTACCTCTTGCAGCTAGCAGGTGGAAAGGTCTAGATTACAGCTTTAGCTGTTCTTCAGAGTAATGCACTACTATGTTCTGTTTTGACCAAAAAACAGATAAAGATCAGACTTTATCTGTATCAGACGCATTCAGCTGAATTGCCCCTGTATCTATCCTAGCAGATATCAAGCTCTCTATCCTATCCTATTAGTGTATTGTACAGGGGCAATAAAATGAGTGTAATGAATATACACGGGACATAACAATATGTTTGTAAATGAAATGTTTTATTTAGGTAAAGAAAAAAATATACAAAACTGTTTGCATACTTGTAAACCTTCCAAAAGATATTTGGCTGAGACAAGTGTGCTTTTTTTTAAATTAAAACTGTATGTAAAGCCATTTTTTTGTTTCGGATAGAGTAGGGAATAGTTAAGACATCTGTCAGGAATTGTTTGTGCTGTCTTTGTCCTGTCAGGGAGATTTCTGTTCACTTACCATCTCAGAACTGGAAGTAATAAGAAATCTATCCAGAGTGAGGGTAAAGCCCTTCTTGTCACAGGAACTAATGTTCGTAATGGAAGATTTTCCTATTATTCCTGTGACAACTGTCAAATTTTTATTTGCTCATTTCCATGCTGGAGACAGTGGCCACCAGGTCAGACAGAGAGAGTGATGCCCTGATGTCTCCTCACCATCTGTTTTACCCCTAAAAAGTGGCACTATCATGCCGCAGTGAACACAGTTCAGTTGAATTGTCAGTTGGTCATATTTGATAACCAGTACTGCTCAGAAAATATGATGGGGGAGATAATTTTGTGTAATCACCTCTACTGTTATTGTAGCTTAAAAGATTGCTGTTTCAGGGGTGGAAAAAATGTCTCTCAAATGTGTGTTTTTTACTACCTCCCAACCAGGGTGGACTGACAACTCAGGGGGCCCCCGGGCAATAGGGGATTATGGGGCCCCTGTGTCCTTGCCCAAACTCAAAAAAAGCCTATGAAAAAAGGTACCAGGGGCATCTCATGGGGCCCCCTACTGACCCCGGGCCCTCGGGCAGTGCCCGAGTTTCCAAATGGTCAGTCCGCCCCTGCTCCCAATCGCAAGTGTGAACATAGCCTTATGATTTTTGGTCACGGTGAGTTTGTTTAAATATATATATAGGATATAAAATGTCTACACACACCTGGTTTTTGTGATATAAAAAAATGAGACAAAGATAAATAATTTCAGAACTTTTTCCACCTTTAATATAACCTATAAACTAAACAACAATCTGAAATCTTTTAGGTGGAGGGAAGTAAAAAAAAAAACTAAAATAATATGGTTGCATAAGTGTGCACACCCTTAAACTAATACTTTGTTGAAGCACCTTTTGATTTTATTACAGCACTCAGTCTTTTTGGTTATGATTATCAGCATGGCACAGGGGCGGACTGACCATTTTGAAACTTGGGCACTGCCCAAGGGCCCGGGGTCAGTAGGGGGCCTCATGAGATGCCCCTGGTACCTTTTTCATAGGCTTTTTTGAGTATGGGCAAGAACACAGGAGCCCCATGATCCCTTATTGCCTGGGGGCCCCATGAGTTGTCAGTCTGCCCCTGGCATGGCACATCTTGACTTGGCAATATTTGCCCACTCTTGCTTACAAAAACACTCCAAATCTGTCAGATTGTGAGGGCATCTCCTGTGCACTGCTCTCTTCAGATCACCCCACATATTTTTGATTGGATTTGGGTCTGGGTTCTTGCTGTGCCATTGCAAAACAAAGAAAAACAGCCCCAAAGCATGATGCTGCCACCACCATGTTTCACTGTGGGTATTGTGTTCTTTTGGTGATGTGCAATGTTGTTTTTGTGCCAAACATATGTTTTGGAATTATGGCCAAAAAGTTCAACCTTGGTTTCATCAGACCATAACACATTTTCCCACATGCTTTTGTGAGACTTCAGATGTGTTTTTACAAGATTTAGCTGGGCTTGGATATTTTTCTTCATAAGAAAAGGCTTCTGTCTTGCCAATCTACCCCATAGCCCTGACATATGAAGAATACGGGAGATTGTTGTCACATGTACCACACAGCCAGTACTTGCCAGATATTCCTGCAGCTCCTTTAATGTTGCTGTAGGCCTCTTGGCCGCTTCCCAGACCAGTTTACTTTTCATCTTTTCATCAATTTTGAAGGGATGTCCAGTTCTTGGTAATGTCACTGTTGCGCCATATTTTCTCCACTTGATGATGACTATCTTCACTATGTTCCATGGTATATCTAATGCCTTTGACATTCTTTTGTACTTTTCTCCTGACTTTGGGTTATATTGCTGTAGAATTTTCTGAGACACATATAGTACTTATTTAGTGTCTATAGGCGATTTTGCTTGTGATTTAAAGAGCTGGCAAAGTAAAAAATAAAGTGTGATTTTATTTTATCACACAATGGCTTAAAATAACAATGTAAAGCATATCATGAACAGTTCCATGTAGATAAAACAGGAAATATCAAAGCAGAACTTTAAAGATGTGTCACCCTTATTCTCATGGCCAACTGTCTCATGTGCTCTTCCATGTGGAGCTTGATCTTCAGAGTCTTTGGGAAGAAACGCAGAAGTAGAGACAGAAGTGACCAGTTCTTGTTTTAGAGAATGCACCTGTTCCAGTCTGTCACTTCTGTGATTATCCATAGCATCTTCATGCCATGTTTGTGTGTGTCTGTCAGCTTCAGTGTGTATGGGTATGTGTGTCCCTGTCCGTGTCTTAGGATGCCTTTTTATGATGTTTGTAAACGTCATAAATTGTGATCTTAGAATCTTGTATGGCAAACAATACTGCTTAGCAGAGTAATTTCATTGAAGGAAGGGGACGTTACATATATGGTCTTTTGATTGACAAGCCCATATGTAATGACCATAATAAACTGGTGATGTTGCATCAGTCTGCTCATGTTTAAATGATAATATAAATTAAGAATGCATCTTTACAACATCTCAATAATGTTGTATAACCAGAAATCTACGTATGTAACAATATTACCAACT